AATTCCCCAGCCAGCGAATGCTGGCTGGGGAATTCTGGGAGTTGAAGTCCAGACATCTTCAAGTTGCCAAGGTTGAGAAACACTGCATTAAGCAACCCTTGGAAGGGTCCCAATGCTGCCATCATGTGGCTGCTTGAAGAACTGCAACACGTAACCTCTTAAAAACACCTGTACAGGTAGTCCTCAAGTTACAACCACCGTTCAAAATATCAGTGGCACTGAAAAAAAAAGTGACCTACAGACGTTTTTCTAGAGTTACAATTTTTGCAGCATCCCGCTGATCGTGGGGTCGAAATTCGGATGGTTGGCAACTGACTCGTATTTATGACGGCTGCAGTGTCCCCGGGTCACGAGATCCCCCTTTTGCAACTTTCTGACGAAGTCCATGGGGGACCCAGATTCACTTAACAACCATGTTACTGAATTAACTGTAGTGACTCACTTAGCAATGGAGGCAAGGTTGTAAAATGGGGCAAAACTTCCTTAAACGTCTGACTGAACGACGCAACAATTCTGGGCTCAGTTGTGGTCATAAGTCGAGGACTATCTGCACTGAGATGGTGGAGAATGGGTGACTTCAGGTCCAGCTTTTGAAAATAACCCTTCCGTGGCCCTTCTGTTTTAAAGGGATGCTTGCTCCAAATAGGAGACAAGTATCTTGGCTAACTCACGCTTATCATTATTTATTTTCAGGGTTAGCCGTGTAGCTGGTGTCAGGTAGCGCTCTTTGAAGTAGTTGTTTTGAATTGCTTTGAAGCCATTTCAGCTATTCAATTAAACTTATCTTCAGCCAAATTGTTAAGTCCAAAAAAGAAAAAAAAACCTCACTTGATCCAATTATTAAGTCTTGTAGCTTGTTAGTAAATCAATGCTATTTTGAATGGTCTTAAACTCTTAGTTCTTTTAACAACGTTAGGAAACACTTAAGATGTAATTGCTTGTTAAGTTTCGGTTCGACCACACCTTCAATATTCGGGCGCCATTTTCGCTTCTATCTCGTTAATTTTAACAGAAGGAATTTCTGTGAAGCGGAGTTTTAAAATACCTGCAATTGTGAAGCTCTCCAGTATTTGCTCTGCCTGCTTCTTATTCAAATGTAGATCAAAACATAGATTGCAGGGATGGTCGTGGCTCTTTGATCTGCGGAAAGCAGACGCGTCCCAAGAGCGGAGTGTGTCCAGCTACAGGGGGGCTCACACCTTCCTAGTGTCAAAATATTAAAGCAAGCAGCAGCACAGAAAAAAATACTTGTAGTAGACATCGACTGCTCCTCTTGGGCGGCACCGGGAAAGCCTCAAAAGACCCATTATTTCCTGTTATATTTTCTTCTACTTGTGTCATATCCATCATCGGACGTTGGCAATCATCATTGGCGATTCTATTTTTACCAACAACCACATGCAAAAGCGTTGCTGAGTTTTGTCCAAACCAGTCCCTTAGGTTTTGAAGCCATGATGTTCTTCTTCTGCCTGGACCTCCTTTGCCTTCAATCTTTCCTTGAAGGAGGATTAAGCGAAGGATGTCCTATTTTTCCACATCATCTTGTCCGAAATATTCTAACTTTCGCTTTCCCATTTATTTCCCTTGGCTTTCCCAGGCAGCTGATCACCTCCTCATTTCTGATTTTGTCGACCCAAATTATACGTAACAGCCGCCTGTCGATCCACATTTCAAATGCTTTCTGGTCTCGTCAAGTGGCTTTCTGTCCAGAGATCCTCTCTCTACTCGGTAGAGCAGGATCGAAAAGGTGTTAACGTCTGACAAGCCGGATTTTCAGTCTTAGGCTTATGTGGGAACTGCAGAAGCCCTTTTCCATGTTGAAGAAATGCTGTTCAAGTTTTCTCTCTCCTCACCTTTACTTAGACTGGCATTATTCAAAGTATTTTTTTTAAAAATCAAATTATAAGCAGCAGAAAGTTTCCATGTCCCGCCAAGAGAGGGCATTTTCTCAATGGCTCAAAGGAGTCCTCAGAGCCTCCTAGCCTGTCCCTATACACTCCAATACGCTATTTTAACAAGAGAATGAAGTGACCGCCAAAGGCTTCCCCTAACCAGATTTTCCCCTTCAAGATCAGATCTCTGGCCAATGTCCAAGACAACACAACCGCATCCTAATTTGTTTTTCTTTGGAACACCTGTTCTGAATGGACAAGGACCGCCCCCCGGCCCCCGGGGGTACAGATTTGTAACCGACCCTGTTTGCCTCCAAAGCATCAGAATTGTTTCCTTTTCCAGACTCCAATCCCAAGAAAAGCCTTGTTTAATTAAAAAATAATAATAAGGGCAATCCAAAAGCGAGAAGCATCACATTAAAATCCTTCGGGGAAACGTGGTGCAACAGCTTGGATCATCTCTTATTTCCTCTCCCTCTCATAGCCGATAATCAGCTTCCAAGTCTCCCAAAAGATTAAACAAATCCCGGGTGAGGATTAAATGTGTTTTCTCCTCGAGTAACATTTTCATCTTTCCAAACTGTTGCCTGAACCACAGTAGCTACCGGAAACAGATCTCTTGATTCAATGGCCTGCCGTTTTCTCATTAACAAGTGCTAGCAAAAAAGGTGCAAAAAAAAAAGGATTTCTCTTCCCAGAAATAGACCCAAAAACGAGAAGCCGTGCCTAGACAAATGGTGGCTCAGTTAGGAGGTCTTGCCAGGTATTACATCCAAGAGACCTCCCACTCCCCCAAAAAAGGTAAAATCTTCCTCGTAATCCTCTCCTAATAACAAAGGCCCTTGGCCGGTTGGGTGGGAAGCCGATTCATAATGCAAAGCTCAGATTTACTCTAAGCTGCAGAAAAAGCTGACTTCTGGGCAAGCCCTCCTAAACTTAAAACAGCAATGCATTAAAATGAATTTCTGCACTCGATTAGAATTAGGCAGAGTTGTTAAAACTGCAAGGCTGCACCTAAGGGAAGATATCTCTGTATATCCCGTCAGAAGGTGAGCTGGCGAGTTTCTGCTCTTCGGTCTTTCAGCTACCTGCAGCTTGATGGCCCGTTTAAAAGCAGATCAAGTTGGTTAAGCATTAAGAGGCAAAGTGTAGTCTATTAATGACATCGGATTAATAAAGCAGAAACTCAGAAGGAGAGGATATTTTGCAGCTTGGGGCTAAACTGTGAGGTCCTTGGTGTTCTCTGAGCTTCGGCGGCTTTGTTGCGGATGTTTCATGGCCCAGCTAGGTAACGTCTTCAGTATTAGAAAGGAGTGGGGTTTGGAGACTGTGTGGTCTTTGGTGCTCTCTGAGCTTGCTGGTTTTCTTGCAGACATTTGATGACCCAACTAGGGAACACCATCAGTGGTATGTGATTATGCTACTACTGATGATGTTACCTAGTTGGGTCATGAAATGTCTGCCAAAAAAAAGGGGGGGGGGGGCTCAGAGAATACAAGGATCCTAGATACTCAAAATCTTCTCATCCCTATGAAGTATTTAACCAAAATCTAATTACTCATATTTTCTTATTTGGGCTGAACCAGCTGAAACTATGATTCATGGTTGCTCAAGAGAAGCCAGGGTGTTGAAGCTATTTCCATAGGCCACGGAGATGACCTCACAACAGGAGAAGGTGCTGCACATCCAGGCAGCAGGGTCATGTGGGAGTTGGCCCCTGAAGGCATTGCTTAGATCAGTTCTTGTCTTCCCCCCTCCTAGTCATGCTCGAAGTGACCAAAAGGGGAATAACTATCAATAAGTCAACAGCTATGTTGACTTATTTTCTTTTTTGGGGGGAATGAAATATATATTTGTTGAAGCCTAAAGCATTGTTGGATACATTGCATGATGAAAACTCACATACTGTACATCAGGGGTGTCAAACTCAACGCCTGGGGGGGGCGGCAGTTTCAGCCCACAGGGTGCTTAGATCTGGCCTGCATGGCTGCCCTGGAAGCAGCAAAGGACTGGCCCACCACGATGCCTCTGCCAGCAAAAACAGAGCTTGGGAGGGTCGCTGGGAGTGGGCTGCAAGAGGCGGTTGCAGCTGAAAACGGAACTCGCTGGCAGAGCGCTCGGGCCACCACCTGCGCCCCCCCGACATGAGTGATGTCGATGCCAACCTCGGACCACCCGACGTCAAACACAACCCTGGATATGGCCCCAAAAGAAATCGAGTTTGACACCCCTGCTGTAGATCGAACCGTTTTAGTGGATGTGATAGGAGATATGAACAGATCATCCTCCCGGCCCGAGGGGGGTAATCCTATCTTATTCTGCTAAGGCCGCAGGAGGACCTTACCCCCTTTCACTTACCTTGAGGATCAGCCTTTTTGAAAGCGTTGCCAGCGTCCACAAAGCTCATAGCTGCGTCATGCTTGTTTTGCAACTGGAGGTGGAGCTGAGCCGCCTGGCAGAATGCGTTCCCAGCAGCTAGGAGAGAAAGGGAAGAGTCAAAAGGGGTGGGGCGAGGGGAATGAAAGGCCGGGGACTTTTTAATATGTCACTAAAAAAAGTTCAAAGCCAGGTCCAAATTCTGAAGAGTTTGTGTTTTATCCTCCTCGGCTAGAGACGAAAAGGGTAACAGGAAGGAAAAGGCTTGGAGTGTACAATCTTAAGTCACTTCGTCATCACTGCTATCAAATCTTAGGGAACACCCCACTGCTTGTAGAGCAGTACTTAAAACTGCAACCACCTCCACAGCTTTGGGCAGTGGCAATTCCACAGCCAATGAGGTTAGTGGGAATATTAGTCATTGTTCCGTGAAACTAGCCGGAACAGCACTTGCCCAGCCTTTCCTGGTTCTGTAAGGCTGTTCAGGTACTTCCAGCAATTGGACTGAGGAATGTACCTCTTTGAGGATGATCTATCATAGGGGTCTCCAACCTTGGCAACTTTAAGACTTGTGGACTTTAACTCCCAGAGTTCCTCAGCCAGCTTTGCTGGCTGAGGAACTCTGGGAGTTGAAGTCCACAAGTCTTAAAGTTGCCAAGGTTGGAGACCCCTATGATAGATCATCCTCAAAGAGGTACATTCCTCAGTCCAATTGCTGGAAGTACCTGAACAGCCTTACAGAACCAGGAAAGGCTGGGCAAGTGCTGTTCCGGCTCGGTTCAAGTAACAATGACTAATATTCCGAGTAACCTCCTTGGCTGGGTTA